TAGCTGTGAAGAGAATTCTGCTGATTTACAAAAGGATTTAGATCATTTGGTGAGTTGGGCAAATAAATGGCAGATGGGTTTTAATTATAATAAATGCAAAATAATGCATGTGGGTTATCATAATTTAATTTATAAGTATAATTTGGATGGGAATAACCATAAGTGTTATGAAGGAATGGATCTTGGTGAAAAAGTTGATCTGTCTCTAAAGCCATCCAAGCAGTGTGCTGTTGCTAATGGTAAGGCAACTAGGATTTAGGTTGTATCTACAGAAATATTGAATACAAGTCGAAAGATGTTATAATTTCATTGTACAGGTCATTGGTTAGGCCACATTTGGAATATTGTATTCAGTCTTGGGCTCCTTACCTTAGGAAAGACATTGAATTGTTGAAAAGGGTTGAGAAGGGTTACTAGAATGGTGCCTGGGATGGAGGGGTTGTCATACCAGGAGAGGCTGAAATCTCTCAAATTGTTTTCCTTGAAAAAAGAAGAGTTGGGGGGGTCTGATTGAGGTGTTTAAGATTGTAAAGGGAATTGATAGTGTTGATGCATCATCTTTTTTCATATTTAACAGAGAGAATAGTAGGACTAGGAGACACAAATATAAATTTTGGCAAGGTAGAAGCCATCTTCAGCTAAGACTGTTTAATTTTTCTTACAGGGTGGTTGGTCTTTGGAATGGGTTGCCTTCAGATGTTGTAAAGATAGTAAATTTAAGTGAGTTTAAGAAAAAGCTTGATAAGTATATAAATGATAAGGGCTGGCTTTAAGATTTTTTAAAATTATTTTAATTTAGTTTAGAGGATGGAACAGCCGAGAGGGACCAATAGGTCCCATGTTGCCCCAAAACATTATTTTATGTTAAAGCTGTCTACAACATCTGACATTAGTAGTCTCTTTCAGTGATGTAACCATTTTTTTCCTTTTATAGTTTGTCTCATTCAGTTACTAGATGAATAAAATCAACTTCTCAAAAGTTATCAGTTTTTTTGTATGTTTTTACCAATATGATGTAAAATTTATATTTTTGTTTGTAAAGTTTGTTTCATCAGTTTTAAATATCCAAAAAAATTTTTGGTCAGTTTATGTTTTTAAGTTTGTTTAATTGCCCTGGATTAACTAGTATTTTGTATATGTAAAATGCCTCCTTTTACATTAGGATTTCAAGCCATCATAAAAAAAATTCACTTTTGTATAAAACGTTTTAAACCCTGACTTGTGGTTTAATTAGTTATCCTATGTACCAATCAATGAAAAAAAAATCTATGCTGTTGGAATGGGAATATTTCCAGTGAAATTTAAAATTAAGCAATATTTAGAATTTAAAGACTTTATAATTGGAATAATTTAAACTTAGTACTGACATAAACAATTCCAACTTTATAGTACTGTCTTCCAAGCTTAAATTTTGTATAGTAGACTCAATTTGAGACTTCAGCAGGTTCTTTTAGCAACATATTAATCACATTTATTGAAAATACTTCAGTATTTCCTATTGTACATGTCTAATGTTTTATGTAGTGCTATTTTATTAAATAGCACATCACCAATTTTGTTAGTTTACCTGTTGTGACCAGATTTTATATACACAATTCCCTGATAAACATGAAAAGTCTAATACAACAGCAAACAAAAAAGGTAAATATTATCAAACATCCTTGATTATTATAGAGATTTGGGAACTAAATCAACACAGTTTTTATGTGACATCATTTTTCATACCTACAAAGTAAGACGAAGTCAGTTAGAACTGTACAGTTGAATGCTTCTAAGTCTTCTAGAAATATAACTATTGGAGGTGAAGCATGAGGTCGCTCACTGTGGTCAGAAATCTTCCGCTTTTTCTGTGGAGACTTCCCAGCACACTTCTGTACACAATCAAGCACCAAAATGATTTAAAATTATAAAAATATATCCTAAGTACCAGTTAAAACTACAACAGCTTTCCTACTCACTATGCAAGCAATAATACACTGATTTTGTTAACTTGAAGTAAAAAGAATAGCAAAATTAGTTTCAGAAACTGTTAGAAAATAAAAACAAAGCAATATAAAAAAATTACTTCAAAAAAAAATTATAAATCTCGACAAATATTTCCCTCAGAAACAAATTAGGCTCAAATAATATTACAATAGTCTTTAAGCATTACAACTGCCCCATATGAACTATAAAGTTCAAGTACTATTTTACCATTAGCAAAGTACTATAAGTAAACTTTTTTTTAAAGGAATAAAAGTGATCAAAGGAAGCATACATCTGATAAATGTAATATACCAGCAAATGGTATTTTTTAAACATTAACCATTTATGAGCAAATTCATCCCTTGGACTGAACCTGTAAAGATATATATACCTTAACTCTGAATTTACTAAGTGTGTTTTTATGAAATTTGGCAAGCTTTTAGTAAACATTCAAGTCTGTTATACACAAAAAAATCTGATTTTTAATAAAGTATTTTTGTTAAAGATTTATCTATAAATTTTCAAAACCTTTATTGAGTCAGTCTGAGAGAAAGGTGATCTTCATGCTAAGAATATAAATACTTCTTTTCATCTTACAGTTTTCATATTTCATTTGCATAATTTCTAGAACTTGCTAAATTAATATCAAATGTTTCTTGGCAAAATTTTATATTTTACCTCTTATTTTCACTATGCTAACACTAACAGCATACTTTATTCTCAAGTCTGTATAGAAATCCTCAATGTACAGTTGAAAAATATGAAATAAATGGAGTAATACCATTTTTTTGTCTAACTGACTTGAGTATTATTTAGAAAGTTTCAAGTCACATATATCATAACAGCTACAACCAATAACCTTTGCAAATCTGTTTTCTTTCATGGTTTTATTGCAGTACTTTGTACCCACAAGGGCAGTAATCCTCTTGTAAATAAAGCAATAAATTACAGGAGTCATTAGCTGTTTCCAGCAACAGTAGTATAAACAAGCTTGTAAAAGTTGACTCTGACCACATGCTTGTCAGCTTGAGCTAGGAAAATTTTAAACATTTTATTCTACTGAAGTTTTATTAGTCTATGGTGAGAAGTTTATAATTTTTACATTTTAGTTACTTTTGTTTAAAAGCTTTGTTAAGTCTCACAAATTTGGGTGTCCAGAAAGAATCCATATAGCTTTCAAATTTACATTTTAGAACACAAGAAGTATATCAGTCACCAGAATAAATGTCCCAAAACTAATATAATTTATCCAACTTTATAAGTAAGCCTTAAACATGTTAAAAAAAAAGTTTTACTAGAATTCAGAGCATCAACTATAACTACCAAAAATCACGTAATTCCTTATAACTAATGGCTTACAACACCAAAACTGAACTAATACTTATAAGGTATGTGTAGACCTCTCTGTTGGTTATAAGCATGTCTACCAACCACGTAAAGTTTATTATATTAGTAAACAATCTCCAAAGTCAGAGGGGAAGGGGTATTTCTGATGTTGAACAAATTTTACATTCTTGCTTGTATTTATGTATAGTTTGTGTTTAAATTTAAAGTTTGGGGATTTCTCCAAATTTTATAGTTTTTGTTTCTACTTGGTTGGAAACTGCAACATCGTATTTTGATGTTAAAAAATTTTGAAAGGGAGAAATCAGAGCTTTGATTGTTGCAAGAATAAAATACAAAATTCAAAATCCAGTTGCTGAAAAAAAAACTTAATAACAATATATTGTTTACAGTTAGCAAATTGTTAGATACAAGTTTCTGCATGACACACTAATATGAATTTCATATAATACAAGTAGTATTACTGCAAATAATGTGGGAAACTAGATCAATTCACCTATTCTTAAACTTATCGCTTATTCTCATGACTCTAACGATGGATCCAACTGAACTCGCATTGAAGACGTACGCTACAGGGGTGACTTTCCATCTCCCATTATATATATATCTTTGCACAACCCTTTCTAGATTGTTTTTTCTTTCCATGACATGACACAGAAGAATTTCATGCATTTAAGCTTTGGGACTATTTATTAGTTTGTTTTGTTGTTAATTGATATCAAAACCCAGTTTTTGCATTATAAACCTTGAGACTTACAACTGAACCACCATTAGTATTCATTTTATATATAGTTGAAGACAGATAACAAACAATATTTATCACAAAACATTTAAGATAAACTATGCTTTCCATATAGATCAAGCACTTAGATCATATGCAGTGCTTAAACTCCGATATGAAAGTCATACACCTCTATAGTCCAATAAAAGTAAACATGTTTCACAATACAGCTGATCCCTATTTTCAGAGAATTATATAAGCCCATTATTTTGATTTATTGCAACTCATTCTATCTGTAATTTTCTGAGAATAATATTAACCTCAGTCTTTCACATTATGTAAAATTAAAAGCTGGTATCAAATAACTTGTTCATTCCTCATTACATACAAAGAAGAAATCAACTGACTATGAAGAAAACAAGAGCAGATAAATCTCCATCAAAATTCATTCATATTTAACACAGAAGTCAATTTCCCTGCTTGAGATTAAACGAAGGCACATATTTTTCTTGCTCAAGTAAAGCTCTACCCTGAAAAATTATCTTAAAGCCCAATAACAAGTGGTGAGAATTTTCATGAGTAATTTTTTAAAAAGTTTTAACCTTAACGAAGTAGTAGTAGTTATAAAAGCCAGAAATATTCTGTATCTCTTTTCATTAAGTTCATAAAATGTACTGACAGATAAAAACAGTCTTATGGAACTGAGGAAAACAAGTACAATCATAGATGCCTTTTACTGGCAAAACCATTGTCATAATAAATAAAAATTAGTGAAGCGTACAATTGTCTTTGTTTTCCTAAATTCTGTAATTATGGAGTTTCACCAAGTACTCTTGGTTTCAAATATTAATTATATACAATAATTTTATTCTAAACAAAATGAAAGAATTAATTCAGTCTGAGGCAAAACACTTATGAAAGAAATAACTGAAGTAACAAAAACATATAAGAATGTATATGGTACATCTGATACAATGTCTCCCCTCTGCAAGGTTGGATTTTGCTAATCCAGCTTCAAAACAGGAATAAAATAATTCACAATGATATCGATGATGTCTATCTCTGAAGAAGAGAAGTCCACCTTTCAAAATCACTTGGGTTATAGAATATTGCATCTTTGCATTAAATTGGCTTCTTGAACCTACATATTTTTCTAACATCATGAATAGCTCTTTGAGAAGTAGCAATAAGTTCAAACTGTTAATTTTTCAAAATATAAATTTAACTGAATATTTTTAAAACTAGTATAAAATATTTAAAAACTACAATATCAATTTTTCAAACATTTACTTTCAATTCCTAAGTTTGATCCATTACATATACACTTTACTATAAACAAATTCCTTTTAGATGTTAAACCAAACAAAAGTTTAATACAATTTAAAACTCTTAAAACAAATCTTCTTTTTTTTTTTACTGTTAAAAGGCAAACACATACACACAAGCAAACGAACAAAAATCTAATCATACCTCTCTCTGATAAAAATCTTGATACCAAGCTGACAATGAGTGGAAAGTGAAGTCCTGCCGTTTCAAATGTTCAAAATCCTATAGAAAACAAATTTATTTTTTGCTAGTTTCTTATTTGTAATTCTGTAGATCATTGATATTTCCTAGGAAAGGAGAACATGTTAGAACATCTAGTATGTATTCAGTAATGACATAAAAATGCTGATGTCTAATCAACAGAACATGTATCAGTACATTATTTCTCAATAAAACTTACAGCCCACTGCTTCTTAAGGAAACACTAAATAGCTTTTCTAATGAGCACTCACTATAGCTTATTTTTCATAATTTAAAATTTAAATATGTAAATAAAAGTAGAAAGTCAAGGGCAATTATCTAAAAGAACCACTATGTTACAGGTAAGGAACAACTTAACTAACATTAAAATTAAACCACAACTTATCATTGCTTTACAACCACACATTTTTCACTTCTTATACTATGATAATTACCGAGACTGGAGGGTGCAAACAATAATATTACCATAAAAATATCAAGGGAAAGAATCATACTCTTGTCAACACTTCTACAAATTTATTTTACCAACCATGTTTTAAGATCAACATCATAACAATCAGTCACGAAGACTTACATTGAATATGTGAATTATAATAGCCATGCCAAAATTTAAAGAAGTGTCATAAACATTTTAATAATCTTATTTAAGTCTACAACTTAACATTACAGCATTAAGATAGTCGCAATTAGCAAAAGTAATGTGAATTTGTTTTCTCAGATTTATTAATCTTAATTTTTACGAGTCAAAACATATATAACATATTTTCACACACACAAACACTGGTAATTAAATAAACTATATGTATATAATACAATTTTGGTACTTCATTATAGAATGGAAGAAGAATATTTAAATTGTTTTACATAACACTTCACAATTTTCCATCTCAGGCTTCAGGGAAACAGGACATTTACTAAGTGTAATGTAACATCTTAAAATTCTGAGCCATCCCAACCACAAAATGCTTTCAATGTTTCTAGTACTTCCAGCAACATCTTAGGACTGCATGATTTTACTTTTGGGAGGGGGGGGGGGTAAATGTAAGAGCTTGTTCCAATATTATTAAAGACAAACAAACACAAAGCACAGTTAATGAAATTAGTATGAAAATTCAAACAACTAAACATGAATAATCTTTCTCAGTAAAGGTTAAAATGCATCCTTTTCATCAGAAAGTAGCTTTCTCACTCATAACCAGTATGCTTATTCCTTCATATTAAATAATGTACCCAAGAATTTTTTTTAAAAAACATATATTTCCAAAGCTAGCCATTTATATATTTAAACTACATCATGCAAATGTATTCATTAAGTGAGTAAGTAACTCAACATACTTCTACTTCAAGTTTTTATATTTCTAACATGGATCAGTAGCTTTAGTAAACATTTAAAAACACAGTTATTTCAATTTTTTTATGTTCGAATACTATTCAAGACATAATATGTATATATATATATAGAAACTTTTCATACATCCATGCCAGTCTTCATGATACTAGCCACAAACTTCTGAATCATCATTGACAGTGTTTTACAATCTCTTGAATGTAATGACACAACATGATCAGTAACAGAATGAAGCAATCGCTGAAAAAGCAGCTGCAAAATAACACTATGGTCTGGCATGTTGACTCCTAAATTGGAATACAGTAAAAAAAGAAACTAATTGTACAACTATATCACATCACAAAAAATTAAAGAAATTATTAGCTAAACACAATGCAAGTGACAATTACATCATAAACTGCAAGAAACTTTTAAATTTTTCAGCCTTCTACAATATTTTGTGATGTAGCTATATATAGAATATCCATAAATTATTTCACCACTTTATTAATTGAAAAGACTAAAAGATAAACATAAGACATAAGATAAACAATTGCAGTTTGTGGTATAATGAAAGTTAACATCTGAGGTTTGTCCATGGCCAGAGGAGCCACAGTGACATGGGCAACATTTGTGAGTTGAAGGATGTCTATTTGATAATCAATCACCATTCATGGAAAAAAGCCAGCATCTTCAGAGCAATGATCTAATACCTTCATCTTATAGACCAGTAGATCTCAAACTTTTTGTTTGCAGACCACCTGAATGTTTTTCTTTTTTAATCATGGAGGACCACAATGGAATCTACACTCTGCTGCCACTTTCCATAATTATGCAACCTTTCAACGGACCACTTGAATATAGCCTGATGACCACAGATTGAAAACCACTGTTATACACACAATGACCTTCCCATACCCCCCATTGAAACAAGTGATAAACTTCAGACATTAGTCTCTAACATGCTGCAAGTCACAATTGTTTATCTGGTGTGGTTTCTTTCTATTCAATTAAGAAAGTGGTTCAGTAATTTATGGACATCCTGTATAAATTGTAGAACTGAAAACAAATCCAACCAAATACTGTTACTGAACTTGATGAAAAAAGCTATAATAAATCCAGAACTTTAAAAAATACTCTCATTTTCATCAAATTATGGCTCAAAACAAATTAGTTGACTGCAATCTCAGGTATGAATTTCTCATCACTTAAAAATCAGCTTCAGTCTAGATCAATCATAAAACTTACATCATCATTACTGATGTATCAATACTACAATTGTGGTTTGCATACCAAACTTACCCATTATAAGAGCTGCAGTTGGAATTTCTTTGATAACATTTTTTATTGTGCTCGATCTTGAATAAGAATTTACAACAAAAGAATCCACAGCATCTAAGGCTTCTCCATGAACCTTTTCTTGAAAACCCTGAAAAAAATTCTTTATCAACTCCACCAGGCATATAACTACACAAATACTTGCTACTTTAAGAATCCACAGATAAGTTTAAAATGTTAGGAAATACAGTTTTAAAACACTATTTATCAATCACATGTACAAGTAAAAACTCTTAGCATTATTTAACACTGTTTCACAAACTGAAAAACTATATACCAATAACTTACATCTAAAGACCAGTGAAAAACTCCAGATACTTATCTTTCATTTATCACAGATATCAACTTCAAAAAGTAATCCTATGTACTTGTCTACATATTTTTGTCAAGAAGAAGAAGAAAAATAATAATCTTGGGCTTGGAATTTCAGAAAACTTACTACTGGATATATGAGCTACTGAAACTAAAGAACTAATGACCACTGGAAGTCAACTAACACATGTAATGAAAAGTTACACCTTACTCAGATCAACACGAGTTCCCAAGAAAAGAAAAAAATCTTTTGAATGTGACATAATAATACTTAACAATTACTTAAATAAGCAATATATATACATAAACATCATCAAATAGAAATGAAGATAGATGGTAAAGCATCAACTGAAATTTTTAATTAATCATTTTAATACTTTCAACTGTTAAGGTTCATATAAATACTTTCTGTTCAAAAGCATCTTTTGCTTTACTCTCAGTACAAATGTAAAAACCCATAAACTGGTAAGGAATACAAAAGTGAGATGGAAGTTTGTCAAAACAAAATGTCTAACATGTTAGATAAAATACACTGCCATTATGCAATTTTATTATAAAAAAGAAAGAACTGAGCTAATAATAACAATGGTAGACAAAGATGGTCACACACTGAAGATGGAAGAATAAAAGTGCTATGTGAACAATAAGAAAAATACTGAGAAAACATTTAGAACATAAAAAGAGAAGGTGAATTAGAAGCTTGACTAAGAATGAAAATAACAATTACCAAAACAAAGTAAATCAATTGTGCAGCAACCAACATTGCTGTTTAACTGTTTCTTCTTTTATGTATTCAGACTTCAAGTTAACTTAGGTGTAATTACACTTCCAAAGTCTGAGATGTGTGCAGAACTTCTGATGGAGAAGTACAACTTATAAACATAACATTTAAAGACAACAAGGGATCTGTTGGTCTATCTAGGCTGTCCCCTCCACTAAACTATATATAAATATAATAATCAAAGTCAACCCTTATCATTTGTGTATTTATCAAGCCTTCCTTTATACTCCTCTAACTATTCTGCTTCCACCACATCTGAAACAGAAGTGTTTCTAGAAACCTGTTCTCCCTTGTGGTTTTACCCTAACAGTTCCTATTCAATGTACCCAAAATATAAATCATGAGTAATAATGATCTCATTAACAAATGAAATCTTAATCTCACTGTAAAGTTCTTGTTAATTTCATCAATTTAATCTGGTGATCTGTAACAAATTCCAACTCAAAGTCATTTTCTGCCTGTATCCTCTAAAAGAAACCCAAATAGGTTCAATCTCCTTACTATTATCTTTGATATCCTCAACTTCAACAGAACGTAACTCATATTTTAGTCTATCCCCATTAAATAACTTATAATCCTGTATTTCAAATAAATTCCCGTCATCAAAATTGTCTACACTTAACAAAGGTTAAGGTATTCCCATTATATTAAAATCCTCTGTTCCAACCAGTGCTCTAAGGTCATCTATGTTATTTCTTGTACTTCTAGCATTACAATAGTAAAAATTTAACCTACCCTTAAAAGAACTTCTATACTTTGTTCCTACACTAAACTTTCCTCTACACTTTATTTATATATATATATATATATATACATATATATATATATTGCCAAACTATAAATAAAAGGTCAGGAAATGCAACTTTAACAAAATGTGAATAGTTGGCACAAAAGTTTAGTAATAAAAACATACTTCCAAGTGCCAAAATGTTATGTCATCACACCCATTCCTAAGCCAACCAGTGTACTTTATAATTAATTTCTGTAGCATGTACAATGCTACATAAGCTTCTACTAAATCTGTCATTCATTTTTCATCTTCTGATTAAGATTCTGAACAACCAGAAATAAATATAGTAGTAAAAAAGTGTGATGTAGCATTTAGAAAATAGATAAAAAACAATTATTTTTTGATAAAATTAGATTTTCAGATCTTCTGTTTTAATGCACTGTTCTCATGTGAAACAAAGAAAGCACACCCCCTAAAACTGAGAAAATAGAAAGTTATTCTACAAAATAAATTATCTGCTGCGTGAAGGTACACAGAATCAACCATTTTAATTTCTCACTTTATTAAGTTTTCCTTCACGTATCTCTTAGTTGTTTATTAACAAACAAATATGATGTGATATTTTCAGTCAGTTAATGGACAAAAAAATTGAAGTTAGTTGAAAATAATGACCTCTATTACTGTAATTAATGTTGTATTTCTTGTGAAACTTGAACAGAATAAATTGTTACAATAAATTAATCATTTCAACATAAAGTGAGCATGCAACCTTTATGTATCTCGGAAAATGTGTTATTTGTTTATCTTACATTAATTTCTTTTTCTATTATCTGCCACAGATTTTGATAAATGTCCTTCCTAGAGCTCCATAACTCATCTTCACCTTCTTCTGATGTACTTTTACCTAGATTATTTTGAAAGTAATATACATAATGTTATCATTTCTGAAGTCAAAACATCATACATGGTTGATATTCAAAAAAAAGCCATTAAAAGGTGAAACATAATATATATATATGGTTGTAATAATAAACACAGTTACAAAATGAAAACTCAGCATCAAGCATCATCATGTGTAAGTGAATAAATGCTGTCAACAACTAAATCAGTGAAGTGAAAATGTCATATTTTAAAATGTAATCCAAATACATGTTAAGACAAAACATACAAAAATAAAAACAAAAAATGTTAAACCTATAAAGTTATTAGTGGTATATAACTGCATCCTTGTATTCAAAATGTTTGAAGATAGTCTATCTCTTCAATTATACATCAATGGAAGTAAAATCTGCTATGCAACAACAGATGAACAAATCTGAAATTATTAGAGGGCCAGGTTCAAGAGCTTGAACCCATAGTGTCTTGAACCAAACTAAATATTCACTGTCTGCAGCCACACTTATTTTTATTTATACTTGTGTCAAGATCCATCTTTTTTCAAATTTCAAAATGTCTCGATCTTATTTTGTGATGCTTTGTTTGTTTGTTTGTTTTGAATTTCGCGCAAAGCTACACGAGGGCTATCTGTGCTAGCCGTCCCAAATTTAGCAGTGTAAGACTGAAGGGAAGGCAGCTAGTCATCACCACCCACTGCCACCTCTTGGGCTACTCTTTTACCAATGAATAGTGGGATTGACCATCACATTATAATGCCCCCACGGCTGAAAGGGCGAGCATGTTTGGTGTGACGGGGATTCGAACCCGCGACCCTTAGATTGCGAGTCAAGCACCCTAACCACCTGGCCATGCTGGACCCTTATATTTGTTTGCTAAATTATAAAGTAAATGTTTTTAAATGGTACAATATATTTTCAAATAACAATAACTGTTAAGTAATTGTATGTACAGATATACTGTACAACTATATATTTCCAAAAGTTTTAATAATTCACACATATAAACATTAAACAAATATTAATACACACACACACATCACCAATTATTT